TCACAGAGTCTGACAGCTGTGAATTTTCATTAGCCTTTACTCCAGTTTTCAGTCACATGATCCCTCAAAAATCATTGTAATTAAGCTGATTTATTATCAATGCTGGATAACCATGAACATCTCATATCATGATTATTTTGAGCAAAATTATCACGTTAGGATTAATATCACAGTATTGTTAAAATGTTCTCAATATTTAAAAAGTATAATTCTGATGTAATTTAATAGAGCCCTTTGAAAAGGCTTTGTCTTGAACGTTTCTTTATCTAGTTATTACTATAGCTGTCCTTGTTATCTGTATCAGAAGTTGCTTTTGTAGGACTGTCATGTTTATCAAAAAGCAAATACACTTATCCGTCGTGTTTGTCAGTCTTGTCAACAAATGAACCATTTGGAGCGCCATAAACAACAACATCCGCATGTGCGAATACCACTGGCGCCCCGCCTCGTGGGCGGAGCCTGTCGACGTCAGGTCGAGTACAGTCAAGAACAAGGAGGAGGAGCCTCGGGTACATAAACAAGTCCAGACTGTACACCGACGGCAGCGACTGCGACACAATTAAGATAAAGCAGAGGCATTTTAGGCTGAAAAAAAAAACTACTTTTCTGACAGCTAACAAGGTGGGCAAACCTTAAACGTTGTTTTACCGCATCTTTCTGACATTTCTTTGCAGTTTAAAGTAACCTGTGAATGTGTTGTTTTCTCGAGAAAACTGCGCTGATCTGTACAGTTAAATTAAGCTGACTGTTTTGTAATTAAACACTCAACTGTGTTTAAACACGCAATAATGAATAAAGAAAAGAAAAAGCTCAAGAGTAGATGTCAATAGTTATCAATGTCGAAATGAAAGGAGGCCTGTCACGATCTCCAGCTGGAGTGCCTATGAACTCCACCAGAGGGCACTACATCTCTGACTCTTGCCACTCTACCCCAGACTACATTTCCCATAATCCTTTGCCGGACTGAAAAAAAAACTACTTTTCTGACAGCTAACAAGGTGGGCAAACCTTAAACGTTGTTTTACCGCATCTTTCTGACATTTCTTTGCAGTTTAAAGTAACCTGTGAATGTGTTGTTTTCTCGAGAAAACTGCGCTGATCTGTACAGTTAAATTAAGCTGACTGTTTTGTAATTAAACACTCAACTGTGTTTAAACACTTTTTTATTAAAATTCTGAAGGACAAGATAGACAAAAGCAGCTAGTCTTATTTTGTTGTTCATTAATGCCTGTAGTTTCTTCGATAATCCGCGTATGTTATTATTGTCGTGTTTATGGCAGTTATTTCAGTAGCAATGAAGAAATGTAGGCTACAGTCAGCGCTTGACTGTAAACAAGTTGCTTTACATGGCCAGGGCTACAGCTGATCACTCCTTCCTGTCCCTCTTACTGACGTGTATTGGAGATAATTTTAGGGTATTAATTATAAACACAACAGTGTTTAGTTTTTGATTGATGATAAAAACGAAACATCGTAAACGAGTGTAAAAACAATTACTACAAAAATAACAGTAAATGAACCAGGATTCTCTTTGTTTGGAAAGAGTTTAAAAATCGAGAGTTGAGGAAAAGGCAAACAGATGTCTTCATCACCAATATTTCAAATACATTTTAATTGTATTTAAAAGGGTCTTACAAAGTGCATATTTGTGCAATGTTACGCTGGTTTCAGTCATCTGATGTAATGTGTACAAATAAGTTATCTTTGTAAGGAGAATGGTATTCTGTGTCTGAAGTTTTGTGTCTGTACACTGGGCTCATAGAATTCAGTTTCCAAAATACTTCCTAGTTTTTGCCTTTAGCAGAGTAGGATGACATGCCTGCACATATCTGATCCTGTACAGGAGTATTGATGATCTGATTCTGATTCATATATGAATTTACTCTAAAACCAAGTTAAATTTAGAAAGAGATTCCAGACAATCTGTGGAAGGGAACAGCATGTCCAGGTCAACCAGCTGATATGTGCCAAGTGCATTAGCTGTACCAGGCCAGCAGAAAATGACCTTACATTTAATAGTTCGTAAAGCTGTCTAGCTGTCTACAGTGTCTGATGTGACACCTGAAACATTTTGCACGTTACTTTCCATCAACAAGTTTAACAACAGAAAGAAACACTTGCATGCAAAATATGCTCATATCTTACTAAAGGGAAAATATTGCTTTGGGGCTCGACTCCACTAGAGGGCAACATAACTCTTTATTGATTTTATTTTATTTTTTTAACAGATAAGCAGTCTGACAAAGCCATACCAGAAAATGATCAGTAGAATACTTGCACAGCTGGTGGGAAGAGAAGAGAAAGACAGTGATAATGCAGAAGAAACTGATAACTGTGCGAACCTCCTCGAGTTTGATGAAGGAGAATGGGTTATTATAAAAATACATGGTGAGTTATTTTGGTTATAATTTTCAATTATTGATCAAATGTGACTGATTTTTACACTACAATCATCCTTAGGTTTATTGATGTAAATATGAATCAAATCGTATCAGGCTTAAAGTGTGAGTGTCATTACCTTCATTTCTAGCCTCTGTGTATGTTATAGTGGAAATATAAAGGAAACCAGGGCAGTTCACTAGACAAATGAAGGTCAATTTTCACCATTAAATAACATGTTTTTAAAAATCATAGTAACTGTGATGTACAATAGTGACATATTGTAATACATTACATAAATGTGTAACATTTAAAAATATGTGACAAAAATGTGCTGGTGGAAAAAAAAAAAAACCTTGTGCTGAGCAGTTAAAAACAACCTTCTTGTCTGAATGTATCCTAGTGTGGTTTTATTGCATTCACTTATCTAACACTTGTTTATCTCTAGTCTAAAACTTAAAACAGTTATCGTCCTTGTGGCAAACACCCGCTTGACAACTAGCCCCAGTATCCCTCATATTGTATAGCTTACTCATTGGGCCTGTAAAAGAAAGAGGGAAAAGATTGTCCCATGAATTCAAGCGTCAACGCTGCTCTGACATCCTTTATTGGAACTGGACCTGAATTTGTGTTACCAGACGAATTTCTCTCAGTACCACCGACCTAAGTAATGTTGTTGAACTGAAGTAATTTATGCTTCCTGTGCAGAGAATCTGTCACTTGGTTCCGCTGACACAAACATTCTTGAGAACCTGTTGATCGAGCACCCCAGCATGTCTGTATACCAGATGAGGCCTGATCAGGAAGACCTTGGCTCAGATGAAGAAACAGAGGACAAGGCTAGGTACATTTAAGAACAATTAGCCACTATCATTTGTAGTACTCATTTCTAGAGCCAATATTCATTATTTAAACAACTTAAATGACATGTTATATGTTTAATATACACTATGCTGTTAAAATATTTGGGGTCAGTAAGATTTTTTTTTTTTTATATTTTTGAAAGAAGTCTCATGCTCACCAAGGTTGCATTTGATTAAAAATACAGTAAAACAGTAATTTTATTACATATTACAATAAAAAACTTTTCTATTTAAAAATATATATTTTCAAATGTAATTTATTCCTGTGTTGGCAAAGCTGCACTTCCAGCAGCCGTTACTCCAGTCTTCAGCGTCTTTTAAATTATAAATAATAATACAAATAATAAATTTCTTATTATTAATTTTGAAAACAGGTTTGCTTAATATAGGCAGTTGTGCTTAACATTTTTTGTGGAAACTGATTTTCATTATTATTATTAATAGAAAGGCTAAAAGAACAGCACTTATTTGAAATATTTGTCTTCACGTTCACTTTTGATTTAACGCATCCTTACTGAATAAAATTATTGATTTATTTTAAAAACGTAATCCTTAAATCTTACTGGCCCCTGGTCTGTGGGTTGAAAGTTGCATTCCATATGGGGCACATTTATGGCTCCAGGCATAAGCACGGCAGTCATACCCAAATAAAATGAAGAGAACAAGTCCATTGATTTCACACTGATATGTAACCTATATTTCCATGTTGTAACCGTGGTTATGTTGGCTTGTGATTTGTCAATCTACCCCTTTAGGCCTGTGCCAATCAGACGTCACGTTTCTTGGCGGTTAGCTGCATGGGGCAGCCCTTTGCCCTGCAGCACCATTCTGCTCTCAGTGCAGTGTGCCAGAGCCTATGAGCACAGAAAACTGAACCGTGGTGCCCTCAACAGGCAAAACCTCGCAAGAACACACTACTCACCTTCAGAGCGCCGCTATGGCTACTTCAAACAGCCCACTCAGCGCCTGTACAACTATTGAGAAAAATCAATTGCATCTGAAACCACTGAACAACCTGGCTTGTGATATATGAATAGTCGTTTTTAGGGGGTAAAAACAAATCATGCCATGAAACCATTCCCCTGTGAGACCAGTATGGATTAAGAAAAACGTTTTGTTAAATGCAGTGTGGTATTATCTTAAGGAGAAAGTCTCTCTGATAGTCTGACACTGATATAACTCTGAAAAGCATGTGTTACAAAATTGCAAGTGAGTTGCATTTTAATAGTCTAGGATTTGAACGTTTTTAAACAGTGTAATGATGTTTGTGTGCATCTATTTTAGCTTAGCTGTGACTGGTGCATGAATATTAACTGAAAGAAAAAAAAACATTCAGTTTTGAAGCCTACAATAAATTGAAGACTGTACTGTACAAAGCAATGCATTTTTTACATCAAATATGTGACCCTGGACCACAAAACCAGTCATAAGGGTCAATTTTTCGAAATTGAGATTTATACACCATCTGAAAGCTGAATAAATACGCTAGGATAATAATTGTTAGGATATGACAATATTTGGTTGAGATACAACTATTTGAATGAGGGGGCAAAAAAATCTAAATATTGAGAAAATCTCCTTTAAAGTTGTCCAAATGAAGTTCTTAGCAATGCATATTACTAATCAAAAATTAAGTTTTATATATTTACAGTAGGAAATTTACAAAATATCTTCATGGAACATGATCTTTAATTAATATCCTAATGATTTTTGACAAAAAAGAAAAATCAATAATTTTGACCCATACAATGTATTTTTGGCTATTGCTACAAATATACCCAAGCGACTTAAGACTGGTTTTGTGGTCCAGGGTCACATATTAAGGTGATATCTTAATGTTACTCACATGACAAAGCGTTATGCTGTGATTTACTGCCAGTGATTCATATTGTTCAATTGTTCAAATGTTTTGACTTTGTATATTTAAATGCCTTTTTGGTGTTGCTTTATTTTTTATCTTCAAGAATATATTTGATAAAACCTTTTAAAAGTGAAAAATAAATATTTTATCTTCACATTGCTCATACTTATTTTTTCTTTTACAATTTGAATTACAACAGTTACTCCTTAAGTTCATGTATCTTCCCCATGAACCTCTTGACTCTCTCAGCATCCACACCATTTGCCCAGTAACCTCCTTTCTTGAAATGGGAGCCAATGATCATGGTGCTTGCTTGAAGGTAGTGCTCCACATTATCATGGGTTACACCAGAGCCGATGAGAACAGGGATCCGTACAGACTGGGTAACCTCTGTCACACAAATAGGGCTCAGAAAAAGGGGCAGCAAAACATGTGTGAGTACATATCTCTGCTACATGCATGCATAAAAAATACAAAAACATGTTGTTCCTTCATTGTAATGAGGATTCTGGCAGGCTGTGGCTCATCCTCCATCTGACAGCTTCCCCAGTCCAATGGATCAAAACTAAGGGAGGCAATAGGCACAAGTCCAAAGTAGGCAGCAGGGCAGTGGCAGACTAGGCTGGGCCTGGTTTCCATGCCTATGTTTACAGCCTTCCATGATCACCGGCCATCTGGAAGTGGGATTTAAAATAGCTGGCAGTGCTGATGTCTATGTTAGCCCATGCAAGGCCACTGGTTTTGAGGGAAGGGGGCAGTAGACTGTGCGGCATCATTTCTGCCCAAAGGACACCACTGTTTTTAAGGACTTAAACACGTAGCTGTTGGGCTCCATTAGAAGCGGATTAACCTCTAAATTAGCAGATTAATCTCTGAATGGGACTGAACAATGAGAGTGTGTCACAAAGGTGCATTAGTGTTAAAGCTGTACAGCTTTGCTCACCAGGGATGCATTTATTTGATAAATAATAGTGATATTGTGAAATCATGAACAATTTAACATAACTGTTTTCTATTTTAATGTATTTTACAGTTATTAATTCCTGTGATGGCAAAGCTGAATTTTCAGCAGCTATTACTCCAATCTTCAGTGTCACATGATCCTCTAGAAATTATTCGAATACTCATGAAAAAAAAAAATCTCATCAATGTTGAAAGAAATTGTGCTGCTTAACATTTTGTGCAAACAGTGATATATATATTTTTTTTTTTTTTTCAGGATTCTTGGATTAATAGAAAGTTCAAAAGAACTCTTATCAATACTGTATGAATGTAAAAGTCTTTACTGACATTTTTGTATAAAAGTATTAATAAATGTATTAATTTTCTATTAAAAAAAAAGTTAAAAAGCAGTGTTGGAGTGTAAAGGGACATAGAACAGCAAAAGGCTAAAGTCCTGTTAAGTCAGGCATCATGCTGGTCACATGAAAGCCCTCGAAAATTGTTTGTGCATGTATGGCACTATACACATGTTGTTTACCATATATCCAATAGGTCAAACAGCATCCTGTCTTTTGCAGGCCACTGTTCATTCAATTTTTCTGTTTAATAAACTGATCACTATAAGATACCCTGACAAATGATGTTTGCATCAGTAAATTTCTAGGTAGAAATAGGGCTAGTTTGATTTCATTTTGTGAGATGTTATGAAGCTGCAGAAAAATGTCAGGATGAAATATGAGATAGGATGAGCTGTACTGTAGTGAAGTGAAGTGACGTGTTGCCAAATATGGAGTCTCATTCTCAGAATTTGTGCAAGGGCACCTCAATCGTGGTATTGAAGGTGGAAGAGAGTGCTGGTCATTCACTCCCCACACCTACAATCCCTGCCGGTACCGAGACTTGAACCTGCGATCTTTGGGTCTTAAGTCCAACTCTCTAACTATTAGGCCACGACTAATTTCGGAAAGATCATGTGACATGAAGACTGGAGTAATGACTGCTGAAAATTCAGCTTTGCCATCAAGGGAAAAAAAAAAAACATTTTAAAATAAATTAAAACATAAATATATTTAAAATTGTAATAATATTGCATAATATTACTATTTTACTGTGTTTTTGACCAAATAAGTGCAGCCTTGGTGAGCATAATAAACTTCTTAAAAAAATACAAATCTAACCAACTTTTAAATGCTACATAGAATAGTATAAGAGGACATATTGGATAGCATCACATCTTAATTTACTTAATGATACATTGAAGACATAGAATGTAATGTAAAAATACAGTCACATTAAAGAGAATCAGACTCACCCCTCAGTTCCTCTGGATCAGCCTGTGCTCCAGTGGCACTTCCTGTGACGATGACTCCATCAGAGAGGAAGAACTCAGCTGCTTGGGCCGTCTCAGCTATGCTCACATCTGAAGTTAGGGCATGAGCACTGTAATGTCCATTTTCAAATATAACTCATGTGATCATGTGACACAATAACAGAAACCGCCACACTGTGTTGTGCCTCTTTTAGAGCTCTGTGGCCAGCCAGTTGTGTGTAATGTAATCGGATCTGATCATACCTGTGCTTCTTCTTGATGTCTGTAAAGATCTGAAGATGCTCTGCTCCAATGTGTCTGTGGTAGCGCAGCAGCTCACCAGCACAAGCATTTAACAGGCCTTCATCTGCAACATGTGAGGACACAAACCCTCTGCACGGATAAAATCCAGCCCTGTGCATACGTTAATATACATTAAACATCTTGTCAGAGAATAATTCAGTTTTAAATGGCATCCATGATGGCTTGTACAGTCATGCAAAGACCTGAGGCCAGGGCAACAGCCAACGCTGAATGGTTTGCAGCTGAGAGAATCTGAACACCAAGCGGCCAAGATGGATAAAGGCCCCTGACGGCTGCACACACAGCTGTCATGGATGCACACACTTCTGGACCCACCTCAAGGGTGTAAGGAATATCATGCATGTTTTCAATGATCAGCCCATCCTGTCATAGACACAATTGTCTGAAATTAGCAATCACACTTTGAACAAACTGACCAGAAACACAACTGACAAAAGTAAAAAATCTAATACATAAAAGACTGTTTTGGTGTAATTTAAAGACTTTTCTGACTCGTTTCCAACAATCTGTTCTTTTAAACAGTTCGTTTCAAATAACCGGTTGAAAAATTCTTACTAGACGCTCCAACAAATCCATTTTCGTTACATTAATAAAGTTGTTTATTGTCATTTCATGTTCAGTCCTAGTTCATGTTCACACCAAGAACGATAAATACGATAACGATAAGAACGATAATGTTCTGTTTATTATAAGCGCTGCTTTATTTGCTGAAGTTCAAAGTGGGTCTTATAGGCGTGAATCATGCCTATGACATTTGATTTTAAGCGTCCGAAAAGACTGAAAAACGTCAGTTCTTCAGTGAACAAAACCCAGATTTGTGTTTTGATGGTCATGTGACCGGTCAAAGGTTATATACTGATAGAAAGTGTGGATCTAATGACAACTAAGATGCATTAAATCCTCTACACGAACACGTAAAAGATACACATTTGATAATATATTTAAAACGCCGCTGTATATTGTAGTATATAGTGTATTTCTAAGGGGGCGCCAGTCAATACAGTGAAACTGATTTGCCTGCGTAACACAACAGCAGCAACTGGACCAAAAAAAAGCGCTATAGCACCTTGACAACTCTTGACATCTCAAACGGCCAACCCAGCACAGCCACAACATTGCATTTTATATATCACTGACATAGCAGCGTGATATAGTCCAACTTTTTAACCCAAACACTCGGATTGTTTACTTCTTGAGCCTGCTAGCCATGTGCTCGACGTACTTCCGCTACCGCAATCCCGCCTCCCGCGTGACGTCACCAAACACACGCCTCATTTTGCCGGCAAAATGTTCATGTTTTCTAAACTTTGTTTTATTGACATTAAATATTTGAAGTATAACGTGGGGATCTCGCGTGCTCGCTCCGTGCTGGTGTCACTCCCCCAGCGGCACCGATCGCAGGGCTTCGCTTCGCTGCCGTTATAGCAAAGCGGGGATTTTAAATGACCCGCGTTGACGGCCCCATTTAACCACTGCTGGCGGGTTATAAGACAAGGCGCAAAATTACTGGCGCCAGCTCAGATCGAGCGGACTGCGGAACACATCACAGCTTAGCCATATGCTGCCTGCTTACAGAGTATTGGAGCAGTTTTGCTAAATAATGCCTTGTGTAACACCATCCTAACTTTTGCATTCGAGGACATCCGTGGACATCCGTGGAGAGAAGGCATTTTCAGAGAGCATCACAATAAGGTACGTGCATTGCACAATCGCGAGGTTATTGTTAAAGATCGTGAAAAGTAGCATTACACATGTCAAATGCATTAAAAAGGTTCGGGGAAGCAAATTTGGGAATGTCGGATTGCAGAGACTTTGGTTTCTTACTTTAAGCTGCTGAAAGAGCGGGTTCAATGAAATGAGGAATCATGATTGGCTCGGCCATTTTCTGACTCCCTCGGGTAGAGCAAAGCAAAGGTGTAGTTTTAATAAAAACGGAAGAAACATGGGCATGCACTGGGGTTGCTTTAAAAATATAGACTGTGAAGTGCATATATCTGTGGTTTTGAAGCGATCGGTTGCGTTTTTGGTGTAGTTTTGACCTCTTGAACATTGTGCCCAGCTCTACTTCCCCGCGCCCAAAGCGCTTTGTGAAGACGTACATGAGGAAGGGGGGTTGGGATTAAACGCCACAAATCGGACATTTTTATAAAGTAACACTTTTATATTTTAGGCTCTCCACACTCAAGAAGGTCACACGCGAGGATATCATGCCAAGCAAGAAAGTGTAAGTTCGGTTTCGTCTCTTTTTAAGGCAGTTTTGACCATCGGTGTGCATTGAAAAGTTGCAGCAGCGAGTTAGCCCAGTTAGTCTCTTACACAGAGTTTCAGGCCAATGTGGAAATGTAATCGTATCACTTTTCGATGCAGGCTACGAACAGAGCAGTTTAACACTACAGATGAAGCTCCTAAAACTATTTCATTGCGTCCCAGGAAGAGAAAAGCAGACGTGGCTATTGTAAGGAAACGTTTTTTTTTTTTATTATTTCTTCTACTAAAAACTCAGATGAGAGATTTAAGTCTCTGACTGTTTTGTTTTTGAATTCACAGCATTTACAAGATCCAGATGAAGAGATCACAGAGATGACAAGAAAGAAACCATGTGCATCCCAGGTATGGATGAGTCATGACTGGTGTGTGTGTGTGTGTGTGTGTGTGTGTGTGTGTATCCATAGGCCTCACAAGGCATGGCATATCAGTGACCTTAAACTAATTTCCATTTTTAGTTTAGTCTCTTATGTAGATCGCAAAGTGATTTAATAATGACACTTATGGCCTAAAATGTACTGAAATTATTCAACTATTTGTGGTAAATGTATACATGGATGTTTAACCTAATATTAAGGCCATAACAATGTTTTGAACAACGTCTTTTTTTGGGAGGAGCAATGCAGAGTTATTTAAAGGAATTAAATGGATTTAAGAGAATAAAGGAAGAAAATTTTAGTCGGTTAAATAAATATTTAAATTTAAAAATGTGCACTCGTTTACTGATATTAGTGATAAATTACATGAATCGCAAACCTATATTTTCAAAAACATGAAATTTGATAGGAACTTGAGTAGTTTGCATCAATGGATATTTTATTAGCATTTCTATTGTAAAACTGATAAATGTTTAGCTACTTGCATCTTAACAATCTTTCACTGTTAATAACTGAAGTGTCGCACTGGATATAAATTCTGATAGTCTGCAGAGGCAGACCAGTTTAAAATGTAGCTTTTGTCAACAAACAGAGCCGCATCAAGTTTATCAAATGTCTATGTTGGTTACAGCCCTGTATAATAATTATCTTTGCAGCCTATGCCACCTTTGTATTGTGAGTGATTAGGGTTAATGTCATGGCTTGAGCTTACATGGTAAGCTGTTTTGTGTCATGGAAGGTCCTTTTCAAAAAGCCTTTGAAGCCTCTCCTAGTTGCAGAGGGCGAGCTGTTGTATTTGTTTATATCCGTTAGAGCACTTACCTTTTATTTTTGTTCTTCTATCATCTTGTCCTCTTGTTCAGGCCTGCTGGAATCCCGACACAGGTTACACAAGCCCATGCAGGCGGATCCCCACACCTGATGAAGTTGAGGAACCGGTTGCTGTCGGCAGCGTGGGATTCGCACAGTATGCCTCAGAAAACATTTTCTTCACTCCCACACGCTCTACCCCTCTGCCGGCCCTCTGGTGAGATATTTATGGCTTCTCAAACTTTTAACTACCTTAGGTTGACATGTATAAATATTTGCCAGTAGAATATCTTTTCTGACAAGACAAGAATCTGTGATGCAGTGTTGATGACTCTCATTTGATATGCATGGTTTTACATGCAAAAGTTAACTTTCTAGAGAACTGTCAACATATCAAAGCACTGATTTTAAGCCCAAAACATTTGGAATTTTATTTATTGATTTAGACGATATGTTGTTTTTGGTCCTCCATGTCAATGCGTGAATCAGTTGTGTTTTCAACTTTAAATTTTGTAATTTCACATAGCTGGGCAAGCAAAGATGACGTGTGGAACAACCTGCTTAGAAAAGACAAACTCTACCTGCGAGATACACATGTTATGGAGAGACATCCAAATCTTCAACCCAATATGAGAGCGATTCTGCTGGATTGGCTAATGGAGGTTTGCAATCGTTGTTTAAACATTCACACGTCTTAATCTAATCTCATTAAGAGGGGTGGGGACTAAACCTCATTCTTGACTAAACATCAGATTGTTTACAAAACCTGAGAACTTGGGGAACAGCCTTTTTTTTAAAATTAAAAACTAACTACAAGTACAGCCCAAAGGAAACTTCAGTTTTGACACGCACGCTCCGAGATTGTTTACAAAACCTGAGAACTTGGGGAACAGCCTTTTTTTTTAAATTAAAAACTAACTACAAGTACAGCCCAAAGGAAACTTCAGTTTTGACACGCACGCTCCATCCGTTTGGTGGCATGCCTGATCAGCACGTGTGGACAAGAACATTTCAACCTTGTCCAGTGTTTGTGCTGTCCAGAAACTGACTAAAAAATCTTTGTATGTTTAAAGTTGTGTGTGTATCTTAACCCCCACACAAGTGCTTGTTGGCACGGCTGTCTTTTGTTGTCACCGTCTGTAGTAGTGTGTTGTTTTTCTGTCATCCATTTATATTCAAGAATAAAATATTGCGTTATTAGAAACATGTACTATGCCAATGATGAAATTTGTCACAATAGGGGTTTAATGGTACATGTATTCATACTGAAATCCTGTGAGATGCATTTCACATGGCTTGCCCTCCTATCAGAAGTGTCTTGCATTTGAGACCCGTTTTCCTCAACGCATGACTTGCATCGTACCATTGTATCTTTATTGGTAAATGTTAGAAATTCACACAAGTATTTTCATTATGCATAAAGGCTGGTTCCGACAACAAGCTAGGCCCTGCTAAATTTCCCAAACTTCACTGAACAAAAGCGTCATACTGCACAATAATTCTGACCAAAATGTTTTGGTAAAATATTTTGCATTCAAAAGTGGAAGCACTTCAATTCTCTTCTCATTTACAACATCAAAAACTGCAGTACAAAGAATGTGCCGCATACCCTAGCATAGACCTAAATGTTGAAGTTTTCTGGAAATGGATGGTTTTATTTTTATGAGAACCGAAATGTTGTATGGTGATTTGACACTCATTGGCATCCACTGTTTTTCAGGTTTGTGAGGTGTACAAGTTACACAGAGAAACGTTTTACTTGGGTCAGGATTACTTTGATCGTTTCATGGCCACTCAAGAAAATGTTCTCAAAACAACACTACAGCTTATAGGCATCTCCTGTCTCTTCATCAGTGCCAAAATGGAGGTAAGTTTTACTTGTAGATGCCTTTTTATTTCAGCCTGAACATTTGAGAGGGATTGTAATATCCTTTTAGTGTAATTTGCATTTTAAGAACTGGTTTATGAAAATTGCAGCATTTGTCAGAATGTTGTGAACTTGAAATGTAAGTTGTTGGTTTTTTTTTTTTCTTTTTCCAAAGGAAATTTACCCTCCTAAGGTGCATCAGTTTGCTTATATTACTGATGGGGCCTGCACAGAGGATGACATTCTTAGCATGGAAATTATCATCATGAAGGTATATTATCTTCATATCATCATTTAATCTGTTTTGTGCCTAAACCTGTAGCTTGTATGATGTATTGGACTACACTCTACACCATTTGTTGTTATTCAGGAGTTGAATTGGAGTTTGAGTCCTTTAACCCCAGTGGCTTGGCTCAACATCTACATGCAGATGGCCTATCTAAAGGAGACTGCTGAAGTTCTCATGGCCCAGTACCCACAGGCTACATTTGTGCAGATTGCAGAAGTAAGACGGCACAATTAATCACATTAAAATCTCAATATGGTGTGTGACTATATTTACCGCAAAAGGCTGTGATTCATTTAAAGTTATACTCTGCACATGTTGTGTCCCTCAATGTGAAGGCCTGAAACGGTTCTGTTTTCCAATACACACACTCGTGTTTTACATGAGGCTACTGATTTTTGCTTTTTCGAAGCTACTCTCCGTATATGAATGCACCTTACAAAGCCAATCTCTGGAGCTGCGCTGAAAATGTGCTTTTAAAGGCCTAGTCCACCCAAAAAAATCATGTCATTCCAAAACTATACATTGACTGTACAACAAAGTATGACTGACTGACTTGTGTGGAACATGAAAGATTTTTTGAGAAATGTCTTAGTGTCCATACAATGGATGCCACAGACTTGGGTTACTTGTGTGGAAAATTATATTCATCATACAGTGTTGAAATGACATGAGGGTGAGGAAATGATGACTCAATTCTCATTTTTGGGCGAACTGTCCTTTTTTACAACATAACTTTTTTAAATAAATTAACTCCGGACATATTTCAGTACAAGTTACTGTTACTTTACCAGAGCTGGAATGAGGAACATATTTAAAACTTGTGAAATACACACTGAAATTCCAAAGTCTTTTGTTAGTTTTTCTCTAGGGATGCACCGAAATGAAAATTCTTGGCCAAAACCAAACAAAATGAAACACTGGGCCGAATACTGAACACGGTTTTTCGAGTTTTTTTCCCCCATGTATTTAGCTATTTTTTTTCACAATGTGCTTTTTTCAAAATGTGCTTTTTACTGTTTTGTCTTGGTTTTCAAAGAAAAAAATCAATTACAAAACAACAATTTAAAATGATCGAACACTGAACATTTTTAACATTCTAGCAGACTTTATACCAACAAAGCACAATTTAACTTAAAATTAATAAGTTAGTAAAATAATTATTTTTTTTGGGCCATCAGACCCCCTTCTTGAATCAGGCATGTATTTTTTACTGTACAAATAAAAGCAGCCTTGCTGAGCAGAAGAGCCTTTTTTTAAAACATTAGAAAATATTACAGATCCCAATTTGAACACCGTGTGAATGTTGTAATAAATGTAAAAAAACAGTAAAATTACAATGCTAACATTTATGAATGTTGGAGTTCTTGCTTTTTCTCAACTTTTATTTTGGCGGAAATGCACAGGAAGATCTCAATGCTTCTTTTTATTTACAGCAGATTTTTAAATGAGTCATTACGAATACGTCGCACGTATTGCATTGTCACGTGCCTTGTAAAAAAAAGCCCTCTGCTTGCAGTCTGAGAACGAGTGTTACAGAGACCCAGAACATGATCCACTAGATGTCAGTGTGATGCTTCGTCTGTCACGATCAGAAGGCTGGACTTGAGGTCTGTGAGCTCCTCAACAGCTGCTGCTGAGACCAGGGTAATTCATTACATAGCACACTGACGATCGCTCTGCTGCCTTGGTCTGGCAGTGTTTGGGTGTTGGAATCTGCTTAAGGCAATTTTGGCTTTGGCTTTATTATTTTGGTTATTGAAAATGGCAAACTGCTGAATATGCTTTGTATTATTTCAATGCAACATTACATGCATACATTGTTTCAATACATTATTCTAAAACATTGAGCATTATGTATCATACAATGTAGACCAAGGTAATTACAAAAACCTCATGTTTTGTGGCAGATTAAGCAGTTGATAACAAAAGGGTGTTGGAGATGAGGTACATGAAAGTGCTCAACCTGCACAACTGATCACCTGGTCAACTCCTAGCAGCTTTGTGGCCACCATGCTAAGCTCTTAACCTTACTGAGGTTGACAGTGAATGGAGTCCCACATCGCTGTTCTGTATTTAACAATGTGGCAGCAGGATGGCTACCATGCAGTCTCTTAAAAGAGCTGTATGGAGGTCAATGTTAAAGAGGAGGAGGGGGCTTCCCCCAGCAGACGGACCCTGGGGGCCCTCAGGCAGGCAACAGCGCAACAGCTGTTATGTGCTCAATGGCCCCTTTTGTTCTCTCCGCACAGATGCTGGTGGCAGCAGCAGCAGGTGCCCATTGGATGATCTCCCAGCCACCACTGCCAAAAGTCACACCTAGTCGGAGCTCTGTGTCCCCTGTCTGCCGCTAATATTCATAATGCCATGAAATACTGCGACATGATCGAATCAAGAGCTCTGAGAACTGGTTTCAATGCTGATCGTATTGTTTTACGGTTTGATTTGTTTAGGATGAAGAATGTTTTGAAGCAATTTTGTCCTCAAGAAGAAGCTGGTGTGTGTTTAATTTTGGATTTAGGAGAAAGAAATATGTCGAAATCTGTCTTTTTCAGAGCAGATTTATAATCTCAGTTGGCTGTGATGACATTATTAAAACAGATCAGAATTAAAAAAAAAATATTGTGTATGGAAATTCGGACCCTATGAAATCACAAAGCACTGAACACTAAAATTTTACAGTCATTCGTATAACAGATAAATTGAAATACTGAAGAAAAAAAAACTATAATAAAACCTGGCATTTTTTAATTATTCATTGACTTTTGTAATCTATTTTAAATTATTTAAAAAATCTACATGTATTTTAAATAAATACATTTTTTTAAATAATGAATTTTAAATAAAAAAAGTTTTTTTATTGTGCCCATTTGGAAATTTTGACTCCATGTTACCACGAAAAAAAACTCAACACTAATATTTTCAGTCATTCATACCATAAATAAATGCATTTAGTCATATGTGTTATCAAAGGCAACGTCAACTTTATTGTCATTATTAGCACACTGCATGGATACTAGGTTTAAATAAATAAACATTTCCTTAATGAAAACAACAGTGACACATTGTAGTAAAAAGTTATATACATATTATTCACTTAGTACTTACAGATCAACCATATCCATCCCACTACTGCTACACTTCACTTATTTATGTGCAATACTGTATATATTGTATTCACTTAATAATAATAGTAACTACAGGCCTATATATTACTTATACATATATACTGTATATATCACTTAGTCTGTCTAAAATGTCTGTGTTTAAGATTTTAGTCAACAGTCTGTAAGCCACTCCATGCAGTAGTGCAGCAGACACAAGAACGAGTTTCTTTTCAGACAAACGGGGTCAGCTTTCCAGTCCTTGAGTGAATTGCTTGTTTGTAATTGTTAATTGAGTAGTTCAGGTGCTGTCAGGGTTGAAATGTATAATCAGCCTACATGCATTCATGAGTTTGTGTTGTATTGTTCTGTCTCCTGTACCACATGGGGTGGGGGGTAAATTGTTTTAGATAATTCATTTAGATGACTCAGTTTTAGGCAAAATAAACGTGCTTTTCTCGGGTTGTTAGCGAGCCATCTTCATCAAAAGCCCCCTATGGTTCATAGAGGTAGCGGGGGCTAAAAAGCTATATTCACACACAACTTTTCTTCAGTTCAAATGAGAAAATTCAATCTCCAACTAATGGGGTAGAAGTGATTGTGTCTTCAATTTTAATACAATATTGTTATAATAAAAGGAAGAAAAAAAACATGATTAAGTGGGTGTCTTTATAGTTTGCAGTAAAAAAAAAACATGATTAAGTGGGTCTCTTTATAGTTTGCAGTACAGTCTAATAATCTTTATCACCCAAAAATATTTTTTTTTATTTTCAAAATCAGAGTTATATTATTATTAATATATTATTATAATATATATTATTATATGTAGTACAAGATAATAAAACAAACATAATACATGCTTATTCAAATTTACCAGCAGTGTAATCCCACTTGCCAGTCAAAAATTGTTTTTAAATAGATTGTAAAATAAAAATGTATACTTTATTGTCCCCATATGGATTTTGGTTTGGACTCCATGTTGCTACAAAGACATTGAACACTAATATTTACAGCCATTCATACAATAAATATTTTGAGAGAAAAAAAAACACTTTTAAGTGCATTTTTTAAATTATATATATATATATTAAAGGCGATTTTCTCAATATTTAGATTTTTTTGCACCCTCAGATTCCAGATGTTCAAATAATTGTATCTCGGCCAAGTACTATCCTAACAAACCATACACCAACGAAAAGCATATTTATTCAGCTTTCAGATGATGTATAAATCTCAATTTCAGAAAATTGACCCTTATGACTGGTTTTGTGGTCTAGGGTCACACACACACACACACACACACACATATATATATACTGTCATTTGTATATTAATATATTTTCTGAATTATTGTTGTAATTCTTGTTTAGAACCAAGACCTTATTCTGTGTAAAACAACAAAAAGGCCTACATGCAGTAAACAAGGAACAGGCAGAGGCTAATGCTAAGGATAGTTGATTAAAAAAAAAAAAAAATCCTTTTATTGATGTTCTTTGCATTCTTGGCTACAAAATAACTTTCTCAACACCTCAGTCTCAATGCGTCCTCACTTATTAATAACAATATACTGTTTAAAAGAAAAATATCAATTTACGTTTCACCACTCTTATGACAAGATCTGTGTCCTGTGAGCTGTCAAACGCAACTGTCACGGAAGCTTTCCCGCCTAACCACGTGGCAGCAACTGTTTACACACGTGACTCGCCGAGTGGCGCCCACCTCGTCGTCATCAACAAAAGTCCAGATGGGCGTGGTTTGAGCGCAAATCAGCGTGTCCTGCGCAGAATGTGCAGCTGGACGAGATTTTAGCGGGTTGTTTAAATTTATCAGGTCAGTTTCCACCATCCATCCAGGGGCGGTTCTAGGGGGGGGGCAGTGCCTCCCTGCCAACAAGCTTGCCCCCCCCCCTAAATTTGGAATCATATCACACCAAACAATTTTGGGTGAAATGCGCAGTTTGTCCTGTAAACTATGCATATAAAAAAAGAAAAACATCTCCAGCAGCTAAATTCAAATCTGCGTTCGCTGGCTGGCACAGAGCCAGAGACACACAAGTTTTTAAAGCACTGCGCATTATAACCAATCCCATAAAATTATGTTGAGTTTATGAATACAAAGACCAATCAGAGGCGTTCAGATGAGTCACCACCCCCCCCCCCCAGTTACTGTGGTCTAGAACCGCCCCTGCATCCATTGTCATCAAATGATATTTATGTACAGTGACGTTTTGGTACAGTGACACACCCATGGGTAAGTCCACTTAAAAAGCATTCAATATTTTTTCATTTTTATTTTTCCCTTCAGATTTTATGTAACCATGTAGACAAACATATTACAAACATTTAGGCAAATTTAGACGGAAGTAAAACTGTAATTTAGCAATTTACCTGCATTGACCTATTCAATCATGTTTGTGATTATAAGCAGGATTAAGCACATTTCATAATTTGATAAGTGGCTCCCATGAGCATCTCAATAGTTTTGCGAGGTCTCTCTCACTGGAAGTTGAATTGGAATTTGGAATCAAAATCTTTAGTCTTCTTTATGCACCAAGAGTTGTAACACTCCAAAGAGAAAGGAAAAATTTAAATCACATCATATTACCCCTTTAATATGATTAATATATCAGTTATAAATGTAAGTAAACTCAGTGTCTTAATGAAATAAATCTATTTAACTTTGTGGTTGTTTAATCTAAAGAACTCAAATCACCTAGGCTATTTATACATGCATGCAACACATAATACACAACTTAGATTAAAATATATATATATATATATAAAGTTAGGGAGTGTCTCAAAAGTGCAAAATCTACAATAAACTTGGTTAAATATGTGCTATATATTTATATATTTTTATGAAAACACTCAAACATGATCCTTTTACATGTGTAGTTTATGATAGCAAATAGATTAACTATAGATTAAAACGATTTTTAGGTTTTATATGGTTAATATATCTGTTATAAATATGTAAGTAAACTGAATATTTTAATGAAATAAATATATTTATCTTTGTGGTTGTTTTATCTAAAGAGCTCAAATCACCTACAATGCATTTATAC